TGGATCTTCTTTGGTGAGAAGTCCTATACCTTGAATAGAAAATTCTATCTTCTCTATAGGATCTTGGAACAACCTGAAAGACTTTCTTATTTATAAGTTTATTGGTTTAGCTAGAACAAGTGCATGGGCTTATGAAAGCACAGCAGAGAGACAGTTTCTGACCAGTCCCCGCCATAGTCTTGATTGGAGTTGCTGCCCACAATGATAGGGGACAGGTGAAGGAATGCAAGGTTGACAGGGATGATCACACAGCACCTTGGTACATACTGGAAACATACACACATGCAGCTAATGCAACACAATAAATTCTGGTGCATATAGCACTGGAGTTTATTGCTGCCAGGTAAAATGTTTACATGTGTGCCCAGGACTTCAGGATGTTAAGCCAGGTCAGATCAGCTATGGCTGACCGGGGACCCAGGAGTCAGCCTGCTAGCCCAGGGCTGCTCTGCCCTGGCACAGTGTGCTGCGGAGGGGCTGGCTGAGGCATGAGAGTACTCCAGTGTGCGACTAGCTGGCAGGAAGCCCCTGCACTGAAGCATCCTCGTGCCCCAGCCAGCCCTGTCAGCATCTATACGTGTGCTGCTGTGCACTAAAGAATGCCGCTGTTTACTAATCTATGGTGGAGTTAATTAGTTTACTGAAGCCTAATAGCACCACACGTAGATGCTGAGACTTTACTGCAGAATGACTTAGTCAGCTCTGTAGTAAACATCTCATGTAGATGAGCCCACTGAAGTCCAGATTCTAATCCACCTATTAGGCATGTAAGTGGACTTGGGTGCCAAAGTATGATCTATTTCACCCTACTCAAGTCCACAAAAAAAATAATGAATACCACAGGTAAGTGGGCCATCTGCTTCTTTACTACTTTTTTGCAAATCAATAATAAAATTAATTATATGTTACTAAAGTAGGTGCATTAATGGATTTTCAAGGACCTGAACAAGGAAAAATAGAATTGTATTTAGACACCTAAGTCAATTTAGACACCTAATAGACAGAATATAGGAACTTTGGGGAAAGTGGTGGTGGTTGGTGGGGACCACCTGAAGCAAGGCATGGATAGACCTCTGGAAGAAAAATGAAAGAGACTTTGAGGCTGGCATCATTTGGTAGAACAGATGGAATGGGTGAAACACAGAAAGAAATCAAGTTTGAATAGCAAGCAGAGGTTGAACAATGTCTTGAGGAATGCTGAAGTTCTGGTGAGCAGTTAGCTTTAACTAAGCAGGCCCTGAGATGAGATTACCTATGTAAACTTAACTGGCCCAAATCATGGACAATTTAAGGCTGTTAGATGCACATTTGCCCATCACGAAGGTTGCTTTCTGATATCTGCACACCCATTTTCTGATTATTCAATATACATTCATAACACTTCAGGTTAACTAATAATAGAAGGAAACTGTGTCTGATGTGTTGGGTGCTATTTAACTATTTTTCCTTCTTCCATTACATCAATAGTCAACCATTAACTTTCCTAAACATCAGAACCCATAGATTGTGGGAATTTACATTTATTTTCAACTTATGGATCATTCTTATTAAAACTATCTCGTGTTTGTATTAGATAGAAGTGAATTTATGCTAATATTTACATTTAGTATGCTGATGAAGGCAGTGGCATAATGTGTTGTTCAAAATAACTGAAATTTAACATATTGACTTATAGCTGTGGACTGTATTTATGTAAATAAATGTAACACTGGGTGAGACAATTTCCACAATTTGTGCACTTCTGTTGGCTCAGCTGTGAACTTTGGAATAAATTCTTTCTTGTACATCAGTGTAAATCTGAATTCACCTCAGAAGAGTTGTTCTGTATTTACCATGAGGCAAGAACCGGTTTTTTACCTTTTGGGTTTAAAGTTTTTAAAAACATTTTACAATTGTATTATTTTTGAGTGATTCCATCAAAGAACCATCCACTGGGCAATTATGTTTCCTATTCAGCTCTCTTTATTCCTTTATTTTCAATTAAGTTATTAATGTAATTGCAGTTACGCTTCCGACTTCAAATCTTAATTTCTCTAATATCCTTGAAATATTCAGAGACTACATTATACTGTCTTGCTGCACAAAACATATCTGCATTGTGTCTGCTGAAAACAGTGTTCTATTCCTCTTATGATTAGTTGACTTTTATATGATGTTGAAGAAAGATTCTTTGCAAGACGTTAGGACTTGTCTGAATACAAAAGTTGCTTTAGATTTACTACAAGTATGGTATTAACAAACTACAGGTTTAAGGAATAACACTTTATTTTGCTTACAACTTGGCTTAAATTGGTTTATCTTGCACTTGTACTAATTAAAGTGAGGGCAGAAACTGGCAGCATGTATAAATAAGTCTAAGAGAATTTTGGCTCAAGTAAAAACATAGAAAGTTTTGAAAATTGATTCTGTTTCCTGTGAGAATGAACTGATATCAGGATTTTCTTTGAAGACATTTCTCTCTATGCATAGACTGGGGAGCAGTTGGGACTCATGCAGAGATGAGTATTTTGGCAGAAGCCTTACTGCTGATGAAATTTTGGATTAAAAGTACATCGCTCACTTTGTGTAACATTCGGTCCTCTAAAAGGATTAAAAGTAAATCTAGGCATCATTCAAACTGTACATACGCATCAGTGGCTTCTGCTACATTTGCATACTGCACAAGGTCCTTGATTATTCCTTTTTCTTAAGGAAAGGAATTTCTTAAGGAAATCTCATTATTCTGGAGATGCATTCTCCATCAACAGAACATGACTCTGGATGGGGGAGGGGTCCTTTACTAAAGCTTTATTCTGAGTATTTTACACAACTTCCATTGACTCTTTTGGGAGTTGGTAGCTAAAATTCCTACAACACTAAAAGTTGTAGGGTATGCATTTTTTGTTTTTTGCACAACAGAATTTGTTTCTGGAGGCCTGTGCTTATGACTGTCCATGAGAAGCACAAAGCTATTCTCCAGGCTGAAATTCTGCCAATATGTTTGCAGGTTGTTTTGAGCTTGAGGCAAGAACAAAGCCAAAAGCTTTTCAAATGTATTCTGAATTCAGTTGTTTATTCCAAAAGGGAAGGTATTCAGGGGGAAAAGTTGTAATGAGCACAGAAGAGAAGTAGTACATTTTAAGCCCTTAACTTTTTTTTCTCTCTCTTAAAGTTTCACCTTTTGGCTATAATTAATCTCTTCCTACACTCCTGAGACTTTGTAGTGTAGATCCTTTGAATGCCAACAACAGAAAAAGTTTCCTTGCCAAATTGTTATTGATACATCTCTCTCAGTTTCAGTGTACTAAACTTCAGGAAATATTATGGCATGCGACAATTATGGCATGTGTCACCTGGCATTTGCCTTCTGAGAAAATGTTAATATTTAGAGGTCTTTATTATTTCTATTCAGTGTAATTTGCTTGTTAGTGGAATGTAGGCATCCAGCTCAGCAGGGGAAGGTAAATATGTCTTACCTGTGATTAGGGAGAATCATTCAACTGACCACAGACCGTGTGTGAAACTGAAAATATTATTTTTATCTATTTCAGTATTGCCTAGAGCAGTGGTTGGTGGCTTGTGGCACCATTGGATCCAGCCTGTGAAGCTGGGGTCTCAGTGGTGGAGGACCTTGTTAGTGTTCTGTTAGGAGGGGGCTTTTCCTGTGTTCTGCTGTGGCTGGTAGCCTGGTAAGCAGGGAGTTTTCCTGTGATGTGATGCCCTATAATTTGCCCATGGTGTCACATAGGATGCCTAAGTGAGATGCCGGTAGCTTCTGCGTGCTTGGGAGGAAACTAAATCAGAATAAACTGGTTTTGATAGATGCCCTGCAAAGAAGTGAGCTTTTGGGAAGACAAATTTTGACTCCTCCATGCAGTTGTTGGGCACATATAAAACACATCACTGATGCTAGGCCAGATATTGGCCTCCTACACATGATTTCCATCTGGTTTATTACACTGTCTGTGAAGGGCCTTATTTAGTTGCCCTGTTTTACAGATGGCTCTGCTGCACACTCCTTCATCTCTGGGTGGGCATTTACACACCCAGGTAGTCTCATGAATGATGCCATGCACTGGGAAAGCCTTGAATTGATTTTGGTGGGCTTTGGATCAGACCTTTGTGGTAGCTTAACTGAGACTGAATAATTGCAAAGTTTTACTGTGTGTGTAAGCAGTTCACAGTCTGGCCTGGAGTAACACATCTTATTGTATTTGGTTGATTTATTATACTTTATTATATTTGTTTTGTTTCCTTATTACAGTAATTCACTGATAAAATGAAAGACACCCTGAGTTGGGTATGTAGGTTACTTAAAGACAACTGCTGGTGGGACCCTCAGAGAAGGGTTATATGTTCGGTCCTCAAGGGCTGACTCAGGCATAGAACAATGACATTTTAGAATAGGGACTTGGGCCTGCTCACTTAAGCTCAGGAGTTTCTGTCTCTGTCCCAACATTTGGCAAATTAGAACTTGCCCAAGCTAATAGGGGCTCTAGAGGCTTAAGTCAAAGTCTATTGGAAGCAATAGAAGTCTTCCTTGGGAATTCAGTTGCATATGGATCAGGCCCTGAAAGAGCAAAAGGACCAGAAGTTGCTATTTTATTTATTTATTTATTTTCTGAAAATGTCTTTCTATCAAGGTAGTGAACCTTTACAAAGTGGAGAAATAACCATGTAATGTTTATGTCTAATTTAATAAAACCTGACTCTGGCATTCATGGGGTTTCAGCAGCATGGAAGCAGAACAGAATTTCTTGATCTTATACTATATAATTATTCAAACAGCTCATTCTAATGTCTTCACTTGCACAGACCAGGTACTTATGCTGCTCATGCATATGCATTGTACTTATCCTTGTGATAAGAAAGAAGAATTGCTATTTTTCTTTCCAAACCAATTTTCACTTACAGAAGCAATATGAAAAGCAGAACTTGATCACAGTAAAATAACAAGATAAAATTACTGCTGCTTAATTAGGTTAATTTATTTGTATGATTCTGCAATTATTTTACATTACCTGGATTTGGTTTTCCAGTGCGATACTGACTTGAGCTGAAAAACCTGCAATAGTAAACATTAAGTATCACTAAAGCATAACGTTCACATTCTCTTTCCATGAACTGGGAGCAGGTAGCAATACAGGCTATTAAGTTTTGTGCTCCTGTAAGGAATCTGCAAAATATATTGGCCCAAATTCTCAGCTGATATAAATTAGCATGGCTTCAATGGAGTTTTGCAAACTTCATCAATAGAGGATTTGGCCCTAAGTCCCTCCACAAAGCAAAATCATTCATGAACTAACCATAAAATCATTAAACTTTTCCATAGCTCTTTGTTATGCTCAGTAACTACCTTGCTAGCCTGTAATGCAAAAATTTGTGAACCATTTAAAGAAGATAACAAATCAGTTATTTTAATGGACCTGTTTTCCTATTGCCTGAAAAACAAATACTTTTCACACCCTCCAGCAAGTTTCCATAACTCTGATTATCCATTGTTACCATTAGAATAGAACTGAGCAGACATTAGTCTTCTACAATTCTGGATTTAGTGTAAAGGGGGAACTGTTTGCTGTCTTTTAATCTGAGATGGTGGTGTGTCGGGGGAAGACAAGGGGGCACATTTTACAAATTAAGAATGTTCAGACAAGTTAGAAATTCAAAGAATAGCAGCTCCAAGGCTGTTTCTAAATTTCCATTAATATTTTAGGCAGAGCACTAATACCAATTCAGTGTTACATTTAAAATTATTGCCTATTACATTCTGCATTTCCCCATCCTTGGTCTTTTTGCAATGCTTTGTGTTGTCACTTCCAGGGACTCATTCAGCACAGACTGTGTCCAATACGATGTGAACACACATAACTCTCATCAATTTTAATAGGAATGGGGAATGCTCAGTACTCTGACAGAGGTGCTCAGCACCTTATAGGATGGTTGCTAATGCTATGGTTAAGAAGTTTATTCAAAATGGATAAAAAACAGAGTATAATGTGGCATACTGATAACAATTTATAAAGGAATTTAAATGATCATGGGAAATAAACATAAAATCCCCTCTTACTCTTGTATTATTGGTGTTAGCTGTATACCAAGATCTTCACAATAAAACCATCTTTCAAAGAGGACATTTGTAGATTCTTCAACATAATATCTGAAAAAAAAGTGATATTTCATTTTGTTGCATAATGGATAAGATTTTCCCAAGAAAGCAGATTATTATATTATTCCTAATGATGACACACTATTTTATTATGAAGTACAATGTACTGGGAGACAGAGGCCATCTCCATGTGATAAGCTTACCATGTCACAAAGCTGTATTGTCAGGTACACTATGCAGTTCAGGTACGCTATGGAGCTCTGGGCAGGCTTTTGCTTGCTTGAGAGACAATGTAGCCCTGTGCGCGTGCTCACATGCTACTTAGGAGAGGATTGGCAACTTATGGCCTGCAAGCCAGATCCAGGTCACAGAACCACTGGCTCTGGCCCGCAGAGCCAGAAAGGGGCTGGGATGGAGTGGGGTGGGGAGGGGGGCGCTGCATTGGGGCTAGGCAACTGGAAGCTATTTCTGCACCACCACTGCTTCTTCCCTTCCCCAGCTGCAGCAGAAATGAGCCAGAGCTGAACTGACTGATCCGGAGCTGGACAGCATCTGCAGGTAGTCCGCAATCACCACTGGTCACTGCCGACACTGCTGGCAGTGTCTGCGGGTGGTCACCGACAACTGGTCAGCGCTCATCACCCCCCACACCCACACTGACAGCACTGTGGCTGCCTGTGGGAGCCCCCCACTTGCCTCCACCATGCTCCCACGGCCGACAGCACTGCCACCACCTGTGGGAGCTCACCATGCTCCCCCCCAGGCTCTGGGGGCATGTGGCATTCATGTATCAGTGGAAAGTCATTGACAGCTTCCAGTGCCAACCTTCCAGCATGTTGTGGTACAGCAATCACTTGCTGAACATCTTGGTGACAAACTGGAGGATATATATTAGCTTCAGTGTTGACAGCTTACTCCGCTTTACAATGACTGTGGTTGCTGTGGCCAACACTAGGCTGAAGACTCACTCATAAGCAATCAGCTCATACAATGGTAGCCATTAGCAGACTCCCAGTTACTTGTCAGGGGTCACTGGCAAGCTTGCTTAAAACATCAGACCCTTAAATATATTTCCAAAATCACTGCATGGTGATATCATCAACAGGGCAATGTTGTCACCCAAATCTGGTATATTCATAACTGGTCTCAGTAGAGCCTTGTCAGCGGAATGCTAATGAATGCCAATCCTTCATTCCAACTTAACTTTGTCCAGTGGATCACACCTCTGATTTTGGCTTTGCATGTAAAGACAGCATTGATGTAAAATTACCTGAGATGACCTTAGTAGTGAGCTTTGTAGGCATTGATGATACATATTTCTTTGCTTGCAGGTGGTTGGTGGCAGGGGTATATCAGGACATTTGTCAGGTCCTTGGGGATGAAATGATGAGGTAGATTGTCTAGCAGGAACAAAAGGTGGCATTTTTTATGTTTCATTCTCAGTTTGGATGCTTATGGGAATTTGGGCTGCATCCCACTCATTCTCAATGCTTCCATTGTCATGTAATAATTGCAGTACAGTTGCTGGTTGAATTGCTTTACAAATTCTTCCTTTTACCAATGATGATTGACCTCAGTTTATCTGTGTTATCAGTGTTTGCACATTGCCCAACAGATAACTGCTCCTACTGCTTTTGACTCCTTTTAGTTTGTCCAGTGTTGGCATCAACTTGTCAGGCAACATCTGGGGAAAAATTTACCTCATTTAAATTGTAGATGTCATGGTATGAGTGCTGCTTGAGCTATTGCTGTATCATCCCTTGCCTCAAGTCAATTGGCATCTAGTTCTCCCTGAAATACTGAAGCTGCCCATTAAAATAAAGGAAGTTTCCAACCCTGAGCTGTGTATTGAAATATTTTGCTTTCTCAGACAAGACTATCACGGTACACGGCCCATGGTACAGCCCCCACAGGAGTCGCAGCCATTGCA